ATACGTTTAGGACACTGTTAACTCGTCTGTTTTCTTTAGAACTCAATAAGTTTCATTAATATACGTTTAGGACACTGTTAACTCGTCTGTTTTCTTTAGAACTCAATAAGTTTCATTAATATACGTTTAGAATACTGTAAACTTGTCTGTTTTCTGACAGGTAATGATCATGGATAAAAAGGAAGAAAACTTGATGATGGATGAATGTAGTTTTGGTATTATAGGTAAGTTCAACTTTGAGCCTGGTTATGCAGACAGCTTACCTTTATATAGATTCAACCACAGCTATAATCATATCAATGCATGTGTATCCATTCAAATTATTTACATAAGGTTTGTAAAATACTGAAGTAATTGTATAAAAGGCAGTAACAAACTACTACTAAAGGCAGTAACAAAATTCAAGTTCCATATTTAACTCCACTTGGAAGTTATTCTCAATATACTTTTTAGTACTTTACAAGATACATGCAACATTTCAAGGGTTAAGCCTTCACAAGAGGTAACTTTCAAATTACTGACTTATTAATATGCCCACATATTGAGTAATTTTATTTTTCCTCTTACAAACTCAGTGCAAAAATTGCGTCAAATCACTCATTTTCTACATAAAATTCATTTATTAAATAGATTAACTGTAGTACTTGTGATATATGTGCTTAGATTGTTTTGTTAATTCTTATGTTATTAGGTGCCCTGTAATTGAAAAAGTCATTGATCCACAAGCTTATATTAGAATTGGTTTAATAGTTACTTACAACTTAACTTTTTCGGACACACTTTTGAGTAACATGTTTTTTAATTACAGTGTAGCAGGATTATTTTCACTTTTCTCTCTCTCTCTCTCTCTATATATATATCAAGTTAGTTAATCAGTGATGGCATATTTAGATAAGCATTGCTTAACTTGTGATGTAATTATATCTCTTGTACCTAGGCCTGAAGCTTCAAGGAGCAGATTGTATAGAAAATAAACTACATCTCTCGCCTACCATCCTTACCGAGCTCTGTTTAACCACTCTACGTTGGTTCAAGTAAGTTCAAATTCCTGTTTGCATTAAGCCAAAATCACGAAGCTGTTAACTTCTGATCAAAGCAAACTGCCTACTTAAAGCAAAACTGAAAATTAATTAACCTGGTAATGAGTATAACTAATTAAATATACTTTTATTATATTCTTACCTATAAAGGTTAGAATGCAGTGTTTCATCAGTTGTACCCTCTCTGTGTACAGTATTTTCATTCATTATACAATTATATTTGAAAATGATCCTTTTCAATTTAAAGCATTTTGGGACTTTTAAAAATCAGTTTGATGTTACAGCATTACATTAAAATTATGACTTAAACATCTTAGAGTAGAAAAACGTTTTTTTTTTAATTTTAACAACACTCATACACACACACACACACACACACACACACACACACACACACACACACTTAATTCGGTACCTTAAATCTATACATATTAATTTGTTTGTTAGTTATTTTCTCTATTTCTTTTTATTATATTGATACATAAGTGGATCGGCCACA